AAATACGCAGAAAAAATTTCAAATCTTAGAACGGAATTTGAAACAAGGTTCAAAGATTTTAATTCCTCGGAAAACAAATTTTGTTTGTTTTCGTCGATTTTCTCAATAAATATAGACTCAGTACCCAGTAATATGCAAGTGGAAGTGATTGAGATTCAGTGCGACTCGAATTTGAAGGCAAAATTCATTGAAGTGGTTATGCCTGAATTTTACAAATATTTACCGGCAAGGTTTGAAAATACTCGAAAATTCGCATAAGAAATTATTTCCATGTTTGGAAGTACTTATCAGTGAGAGCAATTATTTTCTGTTTTGAATGGAAATAAATCTCCTGTCCGAAACCGTATTAATAACGCTCATGTCGGGTCAATTTTGAAAGTAGTCTCGGTCAGAAAAATTTCTCCCGAAATAGGACAGATAGTAGCAGAGAAGAGATGTCAAGTATCAAACAATAATTTAACTTTATATATGTTCATTACATTGTGCTATTCAAAATAAAAATATTTGTTTCTATGAGCATTGATTTTTTTTTTTTTTTTTGCGGCCCACCTAAATTTAAGCACTGTTTATTTGACCCAAGTTAGCTTTTGAGTTTGACACCCCTGGTGTAGTGTGTAGAGGAGTGACGTAGTAGAAAAAAGAAATGATCCATCTCCAACTGTTTATTTCTGCTCCAGGGACTTATTCTGGAATTTTATTAATTTTTATATTGTGGGGGCTTTACTGTTTTACGGTGGCACCGGGGTTATCTATTAATGAGTCACGTAACGCTTGGAGAAAACTTAGAGGGTAAACTTAAAGTCAAACCTAAGAGGAAAAAAAAAATTAAAATAAGCATAATTATATTGGTGTTCGAAATGAGCTGTAGGTGGCGTAGAGCAGAATTCTCTACTTATAGCAACACTTGGCATGCTTTCGCACTATAAGAATCAATGTAAAATCTTTATTATCAGGCGGTGCTATGCAGCTTTATTGTTTTTAAAAGGATTAGACACGATTTTTTTTTATTTTTACGAAAAACATTTTGTTTTCCAGAGTCGAAACAGAAGGTCCTCTGAAATGTTAAGAAAAACACACGCGATAATAATTTTTGTGAATCGCAGCACTGGATATTTCGTACTGGTGGATATGGGTTCGTTTTGAACCTTATTCGCTTATTTTCGCCCTACAGTCTCTGGTCAAATTATTAGACGTACTCGTAAGATTTTTATGTTAAAGCTTAATTATCAGGTGTGATACTATACAGCTTTTACGGAACTGAAACCGGTTTGCACTTTTTTACGCTCGTGTATCAATGCGCTAACATTGTAATGCAATATGTTAAAAATAACTACAAATAAGAAGTATATAAAATATCTCCTGAATAAGAGCCCATTACATGCATGTTTAAATATAAAAGTGCTACATCGTGCAAAAACTAATTATTTGAAAACAACTGTGATTTTAATAATTTGGTCTAATTATTATAACATAGTAATATAATACTTGATATAATAAATATTCTATATTTATATTGTATATCCCCTAATTTAACTGATATACTAACGTTAAAAAGTGCAAACCGGCTTCTGTCACGTAAAAACAATAATGCCGCATAGTATCAAATAATAATTAAGATTTTACATAGAATCTGACAGTACGTCTAATAATTTGACCAGAGAGACTGTAGGTCGAGACGCGGATAAGGTTCAAAACGAACCCATATCCGCCAGTACGAAATATCCAGTGCTGCGATTCACAAAAATTATTATCGCGTGTGTTTTTCTTAACATTTCAGAGGACATTTAACATTTCCTTCTGTTTCGACTCTGAAAAAAAAATGTTTTTCGTAAAAAAATTTTTTTTTTAAAAAAACTGTGTCTAATAGTTGGACATAAGGAACAGATCCTTGAAAATTTCAACAAAATCGAAATTTTTTAAACATTATTAGGAATGTTAAAAAGTTTCCTCGCTATTTAAATAAATGCCATTCTTATAACAACTGTACTTAAAATGGCAATGAGAACGCATTGTGAAAAACTCTTGATTCCACACTCTATAATGGATCAGCAGTAGAATAACTGAAATCTCTTTTTCAAATGAAAGGTATAGGATTTGGATTAATCTACTTACCGGCCATTGTGAGTGTGGGTTACTACTTTTCAACGAAGAGGGCTTTTGCTACGGGGATAGCCGTCTGCGGTTCAGGAATGGGTGCTTTCCTCTTCGCTCCTCTCACCCAGCTACTGCTGGAGACATACGACTGGAAGGGAGCACTCCTCATCATGGCCGGACTTTCTCTCAACTGTGCTGTCTTTGGGTCACTCATGAGGCCTCTCAACCCACCCTCACCCCACAACAAGGTACGTAGCAAACGATTTTAACCACTTCACCTTACCCATTATTTTGAAGGAAAGAAAATACAAAAAAATCAACCTATTTTTCATGATTCATAAATACAAGGAAACAAAACATGCTGGACAAGTTTTAAGTTGAATTTTTTCTTTATGTGTAAGAAACCTTGAATTTAAAATCAGTATACTATCCCAAGTTATGAAGGGGAAAATGAATGATACTATCCTAACACCAGTGAAGTGATACTCCCTTTTTTTCGGGTTAATTCAGCAACCATCGTATATACAATCGCACAAAACACGTGTGCAGTCCAACATCAAAACTCTCAAATTAAACTTCCGGCAGATTATGTTCTTTGCTTCCGAACGAGTAAAAACGTGATCAAGCAAAATTTACTGACACTAAACCCGAGTCTTCTCGGGATGGTAAATAGTTGCAATATATACGGACCCGAGTTAACCCGGGATAATCAAGGGAAGTGGTTGATTAAAAAGAAAAAAGCTGACGATAATTTTGGAACTTTTTGGAGTTGAAAATGTTTTTCAGACAAAGTATTAGTTCGAAGAGGTGTAGTAACCTTGTTACGCGAAATTATTAAACATAACTGAAGTATCCGTTACAAGAGATGAAAATTTAAAAGTTTCGAATAATATCATCAACAAATAATTTTCAGTCCTTGCTTCTGATGTCTTTGAATGGAGTAAATTAGAATCGATATTTTTTTGAAAATGATGAAATATTTCTGGATATTTTAAATAAATGTCTATTGTTATATAAAATACTGTCTCTTACATTACAAGATTAGGTATTACACATTCTAACTAGCCAGCTGGTCTGTCTAGCCTGCTATTGCTCTCGACATCAATATTTTAAGTGTATTCTGTGTCTGTCCGCCCTAATTTATCTCATCGTGGTTCGTGTCGTCCATCTACAAAAATTTCACGGTTTAATGACGAGAAAATCAATTGCACTACGACATCGTGGGAACATGTTATTAAGCGTATTTGTCCATTAGTTTAATCAGCCTTAACTGAGCCGCCGTGGCTGAGAGGATAGAGTGTTCGCCTTCAAATTAGTTGAACCGGGTTCGAATCCCAGCGATGGCTGGTCGATACGAATTCCGCCTCAAGCTTGCGCCGACCTCAGTGCTGACGTGAAATATCCTCAGTGGTAGACGGATCATGGGTTAGAGTCCCCTTGCCATCAGGCTAACCGTGGGCGATTTACGTGGTCTTCCGCTCCATGTAACGCAAATGCGGGTTAGTTCCATCAAAATTTCCTCCACCAAGGCACATTTCTCCCAGTACTTGATCCAGGAGTTCTCTTGTCTTTTGCATAGGGTTCAAAATTAAAAGGCTACGGAGTTGAACATGAGTTGTCGTGAACCCGAAAACTGGGTCAGCTGTTCAACGACAGTTATAAAATAAAATGAAAAATGAGCCCTAATTACTTAATTAGTTTTTCTATTTGTTTCGTAAAAACACATGTTCTAAAATTGAGACAGTATCTTAGTTGTTTAGGGGTAGTTACTGACTAATCACTCCTATAATCACAAAATATCGCGAATAATTTTTTTTATTTTCATTTCATTATCACCGTAGACCAGGGGTTGCTGAACTTTTTTGATCATCGACCCCTACATAATTTTTCGAAATCTCCATCGACCACCATAAAAGTAATTTTCTGCTAATTAAAATAAAACTCTATTCTATTAGATACTGTGTTTGTACATTT